CTCCTAGGATCATTGGGACACTCAAACCCCTCCACCACGATAAGGTAGCAGCCCAAGGAGAGTATAATAATAAATATAATTTATTTATTTTAAATATTGTGTGGCTAGCAGCTTCTTGTGTCGAGTTATTACGAAAATAATTTTTTATACTCAAATAGCAATTTTTTAGGGCTGTTTTAACCAAGACGATTTGTTACATGTCCTTCCACATTTACTACGTTCAGATTTTGTGTGTCTCAAATTATGACTAAAATTAATAATTATACTTAAAGTTATTGGCGCTGTCTGGGCATTTCGACCAATCTACACATCTGCCCTCCCACGTTGACAAACTCCTCCCACACACTAAGAACCTCCCACTTAGTGACTGCAGAGACCCTCTTATCGACATGGAGGGAATTCAGAGGCTGTCAGATTTAAGTGTTTTAAAGAAATGTAAAACTTTAGAACAAAGAAGCATTAATTGTCTGCCGTTATGTTTCATTAGCACAACAAAATGTTCATTTATGGTGGAGTCTGTGAGCAGGAGTTACTTTTATTTTTTTGTGCCACGGTTTATCTCAACTGGAGGAATCCAAGCCCACATAGGTGGTAAATTAAAGCAGCATTTTTTTTTCTTTTTTTCTCTCTTTGATATTATAATTGTTCCATAAAAAAGCCAGCATGTGGATGAAGGTCCATCATCTCTGTGCTGAAATTCTGCCGTCTGAAAAATGCTGAGCAGCCACAGGAAATRACTGAATAATCTGTGAAAGCATTAGCATTGTGTTGTTCAGGGTTGGGTCACTTATTAAAACAAATCCCCCCTCGCCGTAGAGTTTTCTTACAGATTTATCCTGAGGGTTAATAAAGCTGTGGATGTTGGAATTACGCTGGTAGAACCTGGTGTTTCTCACCACGCTGAGCAGTAAAAAGTGTAATTGTGGACTTTAGAGCAGCATTATTTTTCACCTCTTCAGGGTTGGCTGTCTCCTCGGCCGCCTGGCGCTGATTGCTGTTTGTTCTGTGTGAGGGGGAAAAAAAAAAACGCTGAAGCTGCAACTCTGAACCCGGATTCTGTTTTCTCTCCCATTTATTTGACTCAAACACCGTGAAAGAAACACTTCCAGCTGATGGAGCACTTCGTAATGATAAAAAAGCCATCATGTAGGAAACTTGACTTGTTTTTTTTTTTATTTAACACCACAACCTGCAGATTTCCTCTGAACAGCCGCTCGTACGTGTGTACCTGTTTGTTAAAACGACTGCAGTTATTCAGACGTGTTTCGTGCTGGAAATACTCTGTAAAATTGCTGTTGTGGTGTTTTGCAGAAAAGCAGCAGGAAGGTCGTTGAAACAAAGAGGCAACACATTAGGTTGCAGTCATATTTTAGAAAAGCAGCGCGTCATTTTTTAAAGTAAATATTGGAAGAAAAATGTGATTCATGGTTTTATGGAGCTAAATTGGGGCAAAAACTTATAACARAAGTTCACAACTACTTGTATCTTATAATCAAATATATGGCAGGCCATTGTATCATATAATTAACAATGAATTGCAGGTCMTTATACCATTTAATTAACCATGTATGGCAGGTCGTAATGCTATATAATTAATTATGGCAGTCCATTGTATAATATAAATACCATTGCATGGCAGCCCCGTTGTGCTATATAGTTGAATTGTGGAAGGCTGTTGTATCACATAATTAAAATATGCCAGGCCATTGTGTTACATAATGAACAAATTTTGGCATGTCACATCTTGTAATAAACAATGTATGGCAGGTCATGATGCTGTAAAATCAAAAAACATGGCAGGCCATTGTATCATATGATTAACATGTATGGCAGCCCGTTGTGTCATATAATTAAAATTATAGCAGGYTGTTGTATCATATATTCAAAGTATGCAAGGCCATTGTATTATATAATGAAGGATGTATGGCATGTTGTATCATATAATTACCATGTATGGCAGAACATTGTCATATAATTATAAATATGGGTGATTGTTGTATGATATAATCACTGAAATATAACAGGTACTTGTGTCACGTAATTTAAAAATATGGCAGGCTGTTGTATCATATTATAGGCTGTTATGTAATATAMTTAAAAATATAGCAGGCCAATGTTTCATATAATTAAAAAGCATGTCAGGCCGTGTTCATACAGTTACCCTGTTGTCATATATTTATATAATATRGCAGGCCAGCCATTGTATCATATAATTAACAATGARTTGCAGGTTGTTATATCWTTTAATTGACCATGTATGACAGGTCGTAATGYTATATTATAGCATATTAATTATGGCAGTCCATTGTATAATATAATTACCATTGTATGGCAGCCCGTTGTGTCATGTAGTTGAAATTGTGGTAGGCTGTTGTATCATATATTTAAAATACGCAAGGCCATTGTATTATATAATGAAGGAAGTATGGCATGTCGTATCATATAATTACCAGGTTTGGCAGGACATTGTCATATAATTAAAAATATGGGTGATTGTTGTGTGATATAATCACTGAAATATAGCAGGTACTTGTATCACATAATTTAAAAATAWGACAGGCTGTTGTATCATATTATAGGCTGTTATGTAACATATTTAATAAATATAGCAGGCCAATGTTACATATAATTAAAAAGCATGTCAGGCCGTTGTCATACAGTAAATCTGTATAACAGGTTGTTGTCATATATTATTTTTACAATATGGCAGGCCATTGTATCATATATTCAAAGATAATACAATATATTTTTTTCAAATTCTATTTTTTTAGTTTCAGAATTTTTTGTAGTTTAAAATTAGTTTTGAAGTTTCAAATTTTTTCGTTCATTTTCAAAACATTTTTTAACAAACTTTACGGCCCCCGTTTAGCTCCATGTGTTCATTTTTAAGCACAAAAACTGCACGACACATTTGTCGTGTCCACATGGGTAGTCTCTGGAGATTTTAAAGCTTTTCTTTAACAAAGCTTTGGCAGATTTACTAAGGAGCTGTTTTCCTGTTCTTTGTCCCCCCCCCACACACACACACACACACACCCGACCCATCCTGCTGCAGGTCCACCTGCTGAAGGACCAGCTAAGCGCCGAGGCCACGGCCCGGCTGGAGGCCCAGGCTCGGGTCCATCAGCTGCTGCTGCAGAACAAAGACCTGCTGCAGCACATCTCCCTGCTGGTTAAACAGATCCAGGAGCTGGAAACCAAGATGGCGGGACCAAATTCCAGTGAGTCGATGCCAATGATGTTTTGAACCCAACTGATAGAAAACAGAAACAGCTGCAAATCAATTGGTAATAGTTGGGAACAATATGACAACAGCAGGGTACAGTTTGAAAGATTCAGCATGTCTTTCTGGACACAATCAGCCTAAACTTTCTGTTTACAATGAAAAAAAAACCATCCAGAAGACACGGAGCAGACGTAATTACCTCTGCAGACAGCAGACTGAGTGAAACACTTATAAACCTAATGGAATATTATTCCGTCGAGCTTCTGATGACCAATATCAGGAAGATAATTGTGTTTTCAAATAATCCACTCAGCTTTCTTGGACTCTGCTCAAGTCCTGGAGCTGTCTCTAACCCCCTCCTGTGTCCTCTCCATCTCCCTCCTCGCCTTTTTTTTATTTATCTTTTTCTTCAGACAGACAATCTTCTCMAGCCTGCCTCCAAATGTCACCCTGCAGGAAACTATCTTTAATCTCATCAGCAAACATAAAAAAAAACCTTTTCTCATTGCTCTCCCTTTGAGTTTTAATATTCAMCTCAGTTCACTCAGGGAAACTTTTTTTTACAAACAAACTCAAAAGTTTTTAATAGCTCAGCGGAACAAAAAATATAGTCTTCCTCACTCTAATGCATCAGAACTCTCACATTATGCATTTTCTACTTTTTGTAACACAGCAGCTCAAATTTTCAAAGTCAAAACAGGTTTTTGCCAAATGATCATTTTCCAAATAATGGAAAAAATAGTTTATCCAGACGCCAGGTAAGTGAGGTCCACATCATGTTTTTAAACGTAGCTAAAAATAATCAAGAAAAACAACCAAATTGTTAGTCCCAACTAAGCTAATGCTAATTTTACAAAGTGCTACAACCTGAAAAATAGTGTAGTTGTAGTAAATAATAACAAAATCTAATTTGTAGAGAAGCACATAACTTTTTCATAAACCAATACCAAGAACATTCTACTTCCAAAAGCCAATGACCAATAATCGATAACATAAGAAAGACCAGTGATCAAAATTTGAAATAAAAAAAAGCCAGAATTTTGGCAGGCTGTTGTGCCTTTTAATAAAAAAATGTGGCAAGTCATTGTGTCATAAAATAAAAAAAATATGGCTGGGCGTTTTGTCATATGATTAAAAAATAAGGTAGGTAATTGTACCATATAATAAGCATGGTATGGCAGGCTATATTGTGCCATCTAATAAAAATTTGGCAAGTCATTGTGTCATAAAATAAAATAAAATAAAATATGGCCGGGCATTGTGTCATATGATTTAAAAATGAGGCAGGTAGTTGTATCATATAATTAAAAAGTATGGCAGGCTGTTATGCCATATAATAAAAATATGTCAAGTCATTGTGTCGTTAAATTAAAAAAAAATATGGCCGGGTGTTGTCATATGATTTAAAAATAAGGCAGATAGTTGTTTCATATAATAAACAATGTATGGCTGGCTGTCACATAATTTTTAAAWTATAGCAAGCCTTTTTATCATATAATTAACAATGTATTGCCAATTGTTTTATCATATAAATACTAGTATGGCAGGCTGTGTCATATAATGTAAAAATATGGCAGGCTGCTATATCATATTAAAAACACTGTATGGCAGATTGTTGTGTAATATAAAGAAATATAGCAGGCAGTTGTCATATTATTAAAAAATATGTYAGGCCGTGTCACATAAGTACCCGGTATGGCAGGYTGTTGTCATTTAATTGTATTATACACGTTCTTAAAAAGTGTAAGATCATAACATCAATAAACAAGACCCAAAACAGTTGACTCTTTAAATGAAGATATTTTTATGGAAAACGATAAGCAAGTCAAGATTTCATAAAATACATCAAACAAATTGCTTTGATGCGAGGGCTAGCTTGTTAGCATCTTAGCAGCCACTTGAACTAAAAAAAACACTGCCACGCTGACGAACATAAACATTATTCGTTATGATATCAGACTAATAAATAGGACGTCATGATTTACTGATATCGAACTAATTATCGTGCACCCCTACCGATTTCAAATACAAAATCCAAGATGGCTGCCAAAGCTATTTTGAAATGGTTACAACTCGGCTATTCTTAGAAATATTGAGCTGAAATTTGGTGTGGTGGTAGCTAAGAGCAATCCCATGGCATTCTTCAAGCTAACCCAGCTAGCAAAAACAATCATGGGGGGGGGACTGGGGTGGCCAGTTGGGTGCCACGGATAACACTTGCCACCCCAGCCACCCCTCCGTCTCCGCCCCTGAGTTGGAAGTCTTTTCCAAGACAATGTGAGGCACTTTTTTTAGTTTGATAAACTCTGGTTTAAAAAACCTCATTTCACTTCTTTAAGTTTTACTTCTGAATCACAGACATTTCATTTTGTTTGTTTTTGGTTTAAATATTCTCCTGACAGATGGAATATTTCTTTAACCGCTCCAAGCGTGTCTCACTGAAGAGGCGTGATGATGATGAAATGTTTGGAAACTTTATTTTTTTTCTAAGCTATCAAAGCTTCGGTTGATTTATTTCGTTAGGATTTATAACCCTTCTTTTCCCCACAATTCATCTGTGTCACATAGATTAGTGTTGTGCTGCCGCAGCTGAAAGCAGAAGAGTTTAAATCAACCCACGGTGGATCCGTGTGGCGTTAAATAACAGATCATTTATTCATCACGTCAGTCTTTTAACCCCCGTGTCCTCTCTGCAGTGGGCTCTCAGGACAGTTTGCTGGAGATCACCTTCCGGTCCACGGTGCCTCCGGTGATCTGCGAYGCCACCACGCCCAAACCCCAGGTGTCGGAATTCAACCTGCCCCCGTTCGGCGCCGGCGACGGGACCAGCAGCGCCTTCTCTTCTTCCAACGGGACTCTGGGGAGCCCGCTAGGTAGGGACCAGTGTCTACTCAAACTGGAGTGTTTCCGTTTTCTCCCGGGACCCCCGGGGCCTCCGCCTCCTCGGCTAGCCTCGCCTCCCCTGCCGGTCGAGACCAGCTGGCCGGAGACTAGGGGTCAGGACTTCCTGTCCAGAGACGTCAAATCTCTGGGCAGCACGGAGTTCGCCAGGTTCCGCGAGTCCGGTATCGCCTCGGAGTACGAGTCGAACACGGACGACAGCGACGACGAGGGGGAGGACGAGGAGGACGAGGACATGGAAATCTTTGGCTGGGGGACAGACGAGGAGACCGTGATGCTGCTCAATGTTCTCAACAAACAGGGAGCTCCCGACTGTCTGAGAGATGAAATAGCCGTGTAGCACGYTGTAACTTTGGTTTTTTTGTTTTGTATTTTATCTCCTGAAAAGGTAACATTTAGAGAATCATATGCAGATATTTATTTATTTATGAGGCTCACGTGGAAAACGCGGAGTCATCGTTTTTGTATTTTCGTTTCAGCGCTGCCATTGGTCCGACCCACACTTTCATTAGATCCCTTTTTAGTTTTTTCAAYGTGTGCGCCAACAAATTCACTGAAAGCAGCTGAAATAAATAGCTTATCATTACTGATTAATTATTATTAAATAACTTCATGCGTGTATATTTAATATCGGTGCATCTCCTCGATCAGCGTCGACTAAGACAACAACACAAGACCATGAAACTTTTCAATATCAGTTCTGCAAGTTGTCAAAACTGCTCCAGTGCTGTGGACCACGGAATGGGGCGGGGTCCAATAGTAGGCGGAGTCGGACATGCGATGGGCGTGGTAACTTTGTGGACGGAGTTGAATGACAGAATCACTAAAAAATATGTAAGTTTAAGAGTTAAGTTAAAATACAAATTAACCAAAACAAAAAAGTTTTTTACTTTTTATTTTTAAAAACTAACTTATTTTCTTTATTTTTGTTATAGACATATTATAAGTATATATG